GAAATGGGCACCGTGAGCCTGACACAGAAGCTGGCAGCAGTGGCAGACAACTAAGTGCATTTACATTAGATAGAAAAAAAAAATAAAAAAAAAGCATACCCTTATCCCTAACCTAGCTATGCTTTTCCCTATCTTATGAACAGCAGCTACACTTTCCCTCCTCTTACTAAGCATGCAGCTTGAGAATGAATCTAAAATGGATGCTGTCCAGTAGGTGGGAGGGTCTGCTAGGGAGGCTGTGCTGCTAATTGGCTGGAATGTGTCTGCTGACTGTGAGGTACAGGGTCAAAGCTTACTCAATGATGACGAATAGGGGGCGGGTCGAACCGCGCATATGTTCGCCCGCCGTGGCGAACGCGAACATGCTATGTTCGCCAGGAACCGTTCGCCGGCGAACCGTTCGGTACATCACTACTAAGCAGTACTTACTGCATGACCGAGCAGCACTTCCACTCCCTGTACTCGGTGTTCAGTGTGTGAGGGACCGATGTGACATCATAGCCCCGCCCCCTCCTCATACAGAACACGCAGTGTGGGAAGCAGGGAGAAGTCTGCTGTGAAGGCAGGGACAGACAGCAAGCACAGCATGGTAAGAACAAAGGGACAGGAGGTGGAATAAGATAGAAAAATGTACAAGTGGGGTTAGAAGGATAAACCTTTCTAGGAGTGTGGGAAAGAAAAAAAAGAGGTTTGGTAGAGGGAGAGAGGTGAAGTTTATGGAAGAGGGAGAAGCCTAATATGGGGGTAGTTTGTGCAATATTCTTGTATGTGAAGGACTCAAGTCAATGTGTATCAGAGAGTGTACATACTGTCAGTGAATGTCTAGGTTAATGTAGTGTGTGTGTGTGTATTTTTTTTTTTTTAAAGGGCAGATGCTCAATGCACACGTCTGCTTTTACAGAAGAACTACATATTGCAAGTCTAAGGTGTTTTGAACAAGAACTCACATACTGGCACCAGCACCTACATTGCCCTGCTTTGGGAAGTGTCCCAAAGCAAGGTAAATCAATCTAGATCTGCAGCTATTGCAAACAAATTTCACACATCCACAAAGAAAACATGTACAAAGAATTGCATGCAAATGTTTTCCTTCAGGGGTACATCTACTAAACTGTTAGAAACAATAAATGGCCAGTTCCTTTAAAGGGACACTATAGTCAGCAGAACAACTACACCTTTAATGTAGTTGTTCTGGTGAGTATAATCATTTACTTCAGGCCATTTACATTGCCCCCTAGGGACATCTCCAAGCTGAAATTTTCCAATAGAGATGCATTGAGTCAATGCATCTCTATGAGGAGGTGCAGATTGGCCAAAATTGCGTATTGGCACGACCTCTTTGCCAACTTTAGCCAATCCAATGCTTTCCCTGGAAAAGTTGCAAATTTGCACCATTCTAAAAACTTTTTATGACCAGGAAAGGGCACGGTGAAGATTTTTCGCACAGGGCGCCTAAAGCCCTAAGGCCGGCATAGATCATTAGTATGCTAAAACTGGCACAGTTACACACATTCAAAAAAGAAACTGTGCGTGTGTGTGTAGATATACATAAAACCAGGCTTCATAGCTAGAAAACCATACAAGAATACAATATGACAGACAAGATTCCCAAAGGACGTGGGTATCCACTGTAAGAGCTGGCAAAAAGGAAGATACCAGATAAGTGGCAAGTTAAAGGACCACTATAGTGCCAGGAAAACATACTAATTTTCCTGGCACTATAGTGTCCTGAGGGTGCCCCCACCCTCAGGGTCCCCCTCCCGCTGGGCTCTAGGGGGTGGAAGGGTTTTACTTCTTTCTCCAGTGCCGGGCGGGGAGCTCTCCTCCTCTCCGCCTCCTCTCCTCCTTGGCTGAATGCGCATGCACGGCAAGAGCCACGCGCGCATTCAGCCAGTCTCATAGGAAAGCATTCACAATGCTTTCCTATGGAAAATCACAGTGAGAAACGCGGAAGCGCCTCTAACGGCTGTCAGTGAGGCAGCCACTAGAGGCTGGATTAACCCTAATATAAACATAGCAGTTTCTCTGAAACTGCAATGTTTATAGAAAAAAGGGTTAAACCTAGCTGGACCAGGCACCCAGACCACTTCATTAAGCTGAAGTGGACTGGGTGCCAATAGTGGTCCTTTAAAAATATGAGTTTGACAGCAACATGAAAAAGAGATTGAAGTATGACGTGGGAGGTCCAGAGAAGAGACAGAGTGCACAAATAATTAATTTTTGGTATTTAATTACATATTGAGAAAATGTTGTTTCTAAGAAGTATAGTATAGAACAAGGGATCTCAAAAAGTGTGACCTTTTCCTTCTGCCATCAGAGTGAGCCTCTGATTTGTGGGTGTGCAGTAAACTTAT